ACGTGTGCTCTTCCGATCTCGGATGTTTTTTTACCATAAAAAAAAGAATATTCTTAAGAGACTTACTTACGCGAAAATTGCAGAAGATTTGCGCAAGCGTATTGCGCACTCTTTAGTATCTCAGTTTTATACGCTTTATTCATATTTGTGCACTCGTAAGACATGTTTCATCTCTAGGATAAAAGTCCCTTCAGTACCGCTGAACATGTTAAATTGTTGATGTGAAGGTAATCTAATTCTTTTCTCAAAGCATAGAAACAGTTTTTTTGCAATACGTAATTCTATATGAATCTAAATAATTCTATATACTTTATTAAAAAAACTTCAAGCTTCAACTTTATTAATACCTTGTACAAATGTTATAAAAATGTATATGTATAATGTATATGTATAATATAATGTTGTAACTCTGTCTCCTGCACGTGTAGTAAAATTTGTTTTGAAATATCGAAATGTAAAATTAATATCATGTCTAGAGGTCCAAAACGAAATTAATTTTTTTTGAAAGTCGATTTACAAAAAATTCACGCAGGCGCGTTTCCTCTTTTAGAGTGCCAAAATTTCTTTTTAGTACGCGCAATCATAGGATACATTTTCTCTTTAGAAGTATTTTCCAATTTTAATTCTTTTGATGCCGGGGCTATTTGGTAAAATCATAATTTAAAATAATTAGAATTCGACAAATACTCGACACACGAGTTTTAAATTAGCACGATTTTATAAGTATTAAATACTGATGTATGTCAGCTATCTTATTGTCATATACTATTAGCAGTATTTTTGTTCTCTTTCCTCTTTTGTTTTGACTATGTTTAACAGGAACAGTATTATCCTGTCATCGAGGCTCTATACCACTGTACATTTTATGAAATTATATATAGATAACGAATGTTTAATTTGAGACCGGAACTCTATTATTTTAAGTTAACGATAGCATTTACGCTAATTTATTCTGCAGTGATATTATTTTCTATATCTGTAATGTTTTGTAAAATGTTAATGTTCATTGCATGTTCGATACAATAATACAATTGTTATATTGTAATTATATAGTCACTTAGTAAATAATACAATTTTTTAGCTAAAAAGTATTTTTAGCCAATAACAATTAAAAATATTATTGAAGTAATATAATATTATATTAGTAATTTTGAAATATTTTATTGTTTCTCTAATTGCATTTTTGAAATGTTTTACATTTCAAATATTTTGTACTTAATACTTTTTCAATTAATCTGTATACTCAAATTGCATTTTTTAAGTTTTGAAAATGTAAAATAATAATATCGGAAATATTTTTATTAATTGTATATACATCAATTTTCTAATTTAATTTGATTTTATTTTTGTCTCATTTTTGTATAGAATACATAACGGTAAAGTAAGATACCGAAGCCTTCACCAGCTAGAATAAATATCATAAAGTATGTTTAGGTACTTCAAATATATTTCAATACATGGTACATTATTTTCTTACCGTTGCAAAACATTCTAACGATCCAATAAACAATCCACCAACACCCAAAGTAAAACTTTTGGCGCCTCTTTGCAGTAAAAAAAGTAAAATTCTTTGTATGCGTAAGGGAGCTTCATACCATTGAACGCGATATCTGTAATACAAAAAGTCAATATTTTAAAAAAGAAATAAATATATATAATATTTATTTTGTTGTAATAATTTTTTTTATTTTACAACTAACGTTTTATAGTTTACTTTTGAAATAGGTGTTTATAAGTGCGCACACACAACACACACACGCACACGCACATGTACAAATAATAACTCATAAAATGATCTCTTACATAGTAACGAATATGTGATTATTGTGATCCAT